GATGGGTATTCGATACCAATATTGACTTCTAACTCTATCTGATGTGTCTGACAGGGATCCAGGGTGTTGAGTTGTTCCATTATGAAAAGATGGAAGCTGTAGTGGGCCAGAATGTTTCCTTACCCTGCACTTTAAAAAGTGCTACTGATAACAAGATTGTCAGCATTGAATGGAGTAAGGAAACAAATAAAACTACAAAGCTGGGTTTGCACAGCCAATTTTATGGATTCCATCTATTCTGGCAAAATATTACCATCCAGATTGAGAAAAACGGTACAGATGTACTGGGTTCCCATCTAAAACTTTCTGATGTGAAGAAATCGGATGAAGGCATCTATGTTTGTGACATGGCCACCTTTCCTGATGGATCCAAAAAGGTTAAAACACAGCTAATAATCAAAGGTAAGAGAACCTAGTACACACAAAGCCATATCTAAGTACCTAAACCAGACTTTGTAGACCACCCTGGATTTAATATTTAAATAGAAATACACAACATCTTTCTATCTAATGCTGTATTGTAAATATTTCACATTACTTGTGGTTTCATCAGAGCACTCAGTCTCTGCCAATCTCAGCAGTTATTTACTCAGCAAATCCAAGTAAGAATGAAAACAACAAATCTAGGAGCTTTGCTAAAAGACAGTTTTCTTTTTCATATTGTCTCATAACACACGACACAACACACTCTTCTGTTCAGCGGAAGGGATGTTGTGATCACAACACTGGCAGAAGACATATTACAAAAATGTGCTTTTCACATCACTCAGTTGATTTTTTTTAAATTCTTTTTTTTTACGTTTTTTGTGTGATCAACAAATCTAATTAATCTCATGTTTTCCTCAATAGATGACATTAAAATAACGTGTGATGTGAATGGCACTGTTGAAGTCCAAAATGGAGAAAATGTGACAATTCGCTGCACATCATTTCCAAACGCACAGTACAGATGGACCAAGGTAAAGGAAACTTGGAATTTGAAACTGAATTTAACTCTGACTTCTTTTCAAAATAAAAGGTTTTTATGTGCTACATAATCATGCTTTGCCCCAGAATGATGAAGTGTTGTCAGAGACTGAATCTCTGGAGCTCTGGTGGGTGACTGATGCTAAGGCAGGGATTTATACACTGACTGTCAACACAGGAAGCAAACGTGTGCGCAAAGAGTTTGTGGTCACAGTGCAACCACAAGTTTGAAGACAGGTGAGCGTCTTCAGTTCGTTGCTGCTCTTTGCCTCTTTGTGTCATAATAAATGACATTTAAACTATAAAATCAAAGCCTCAAGTCAAAACGGGTAAAAGTCTTACTATCTGTTCATTTAAATGTCCTATGCCTGCTTACATTGGTTTTTCTGTGAAAGACAAAAAATAGTGATATCTGTGAAAATAGCCAATAGATGTGCATACAATACCTGTACATGCTTTATAGATTCAAGTAACTGTCTAACAAAGCCACAAGTCAATATTTGTGCTCTGTCTCTTCCTAGGATGGATCTACCACCTCCTTTCAATCTCCCTCCAGCTTTAGTCAAGTATACAGCTGCAAGGTAGAGCAAGACTACAACAGAGCCTTTCCCCATCTTTGACACAGATTCAAATATGAAATATGTCAGTTCATTAGCTGAAAAGTGAAGTAATAGTAGAGTAGGGTTTAAACCATGTCTTCTCTACTAATTAGAAACCAGTACAAACCAGAAGTTTTGCAAATGTAGCTCTGTCTAAAGGTGTTTTCAGGATTTTTTTTTTTTTTTTTTTTTTTTTTTTTGAATGAGGTGGCAATTGTTGATTTATTTTTGTGTATATAGCTTTGCAGTTGTAGCTGTTGATGATTTCAATTACTTTTAATTTTAATATATTTCTCAGTACCTTGAGCTATAAACCAACAATTAAATAAAATACAAGTACATAAAACCTGAGTAAATAATCCTGTATATGCTCTGATCCAATTTCCACAATTGTTCTTTTTTTTTTATTATTATTATTATAATTTGTATTTCTGATTTACTAAGTTTTACAGACCAATAAACCACAAATGCTACATTTCTGCAACATATAAATTCTTCATATAGAAACATTACGTGGACAAAAGTATTGGGTTACATCACTTAATCTCTAATTCAGGTGTTTTCAGTCCCATTGCCACAGGTCAGTGGTGGAACTGAAAAATTTTATATGTGGGGCAAGATGTCTAGGCAGAGTGGCACATACCTCTTTAGAGTAGTATGTGAAAACCCCCCACATGGAGTCAACAAAATATCCACAAAAACACTTTAAAATTATTTATTGTATAATTATCTCTTCTGAGAAAAACAAAGGCTACAAGAGGCTTTTGGACAAACAAGCAATTAGCTTTGCAACTATTTTAGCCATAGTATTTTAGGTCTGATGTTTGTGCCATTTTTGTAAATACGTGTGAGCAATAAATGATCAAAAACCAGGAATATGATGGATATTGTTTTTAAGAATTTAACCTTCTCTGTATTTTGTTATTTTGTTTTATGGCTAGACAGAAAGCTAAATAGTATCCTGTTTTGTCAATGCTAAGCAGGCTGCAGCTGTACTCTGCAAAGGGGTCAAACAGCAATACAAAGGGAAATTAAAACTATACACTTGTAAAGTTAAAAGTTTTGTCATTGTAATATTTTGAAGCAACATAAAGCTCTGCATTTGCTCAGTATGTGAAAACTCTAAAAGGCTGTGCTAAGAAATGCAGAGGGTTGGTGTGACAGAGGAGGACGTTAGCAGCCAGAATAAGGAGTAGATGATTGGTCTGTGCAGCGCTGACGCTTTTAGTAAATCAGGGCTTTAAATTCTATAACCAAGTAAAGATATTAGTGCAGGCATTGCAAAATATTAATGCAGTAGTACCAGGATTCTCTTTCTCAGGGGATGAACTGATTTAATCTCAAGCAGGCCCAGGATCCTCCTGCAGCAGCCACCAGGCACAGGCTCCTGCAGCAGCCACCAGGCCCAGGCTCCTGCAGCAGCCACCGGGCCCAGGATCCTCCAGCAGCCACCGGGCCCAGGCTCTTCCAGCAGCCACCGGGCCCAGGCTCTTCCAGCAGCCACCGGGCCCAGGCTCTTCCAGCAGCCACCAGGCCCAGGATCCTCCAGCAGCCACTAGGCCCAGGATCCTACTGCTCCACCAGGCCCAGGATCCTCTAGCAAGGCACCAACAAGTAAATCAACAGTGACAAGACGGTGAACGGAGCGAGCAAGACAACAAGCTCAATGGGGCCTAAGAGAACACTGAACGCCGATGAAATTGAGGACATCAAAAAGTCATTGGACTTTCTAACTGAGGAAACATCGGCTATCAAGCTACAACAGAAATATATCCTAGACTTAGTCGAGGAAATAAGGTCGCTACGTAACCAGAATGCAGAGAAGGAGAAACGGATCGTCTATCTGGAGAGCAGGGTCACGGACCTGGAGCAATATACCAGAATGAACGACGTGATCATCACAGGGCTGTACATAAAACCCCGGTCATATGCTCGGGCTGTGACTGCTGGCAGTAAAGAGGAGCAAGGAGATCTGGATGGGAGCTCTGCGGAGCAACAAGTAGCTGGTTTCTTGCAGTCGAAAGGGATCGACCTGGACTGTAATAACATCGAGGCATGCCACCCCTTGCCCAGGAGAAATGCTAGTGATAAACCAGCTATCATCATAAGATTTGTAAACAGGAAACACAAGAATGCACTGCTGAAGCAGGGGAGGAAACTAAAAGGATCGAACGTCTACATGAATGACCATCTAACCAAATCCAATGCTGACATAGCGAAGAAAGCAAGATACCTAAAGAAACTGGGTAAAATTCAGAACACCTGGACTGCAAACTGTAAAATATTTATAAAGCTCAACAGTACACTGGAGGAAGCCAAGGTGCTGGTCATCAAATGCATCCAGGATCTGGAAAAATATTAACAGGTCACTTGACTACAAAGGCAAGGAGCGGGACAAACAATCTACAGTCATCAAAGCAGGTAATAGAAGACAACAACGGAAGCTAAAGCGTAACGTATTCAAGGATGAAACAATCAATTAATTCATTATCTGGGAATTATACATTGCTACCACAAAGGATTGCTAATCAGGAGATAAATTCACCAGTAAACACGGAATACAAAACACACTTCACAGAGCAGGACATTGATCCAGAACTGAACGTTTTTAACATCAAAAATACCTGCTACTATCATACTGAAGAACAATTCAACAAAACTGTCAAGGTCGACGGCAAAATATCTATAATCCACTTTAATAGTAGAAGTTTATATGCAAATTTTCACAAAATAAGGGAATATTTAAGCAAATTTACACATCCATTCAGTGTGATTGCAGTATCTGAAACATGGATTAATAAACAGAAAGGAGAGGACTTTGTAATAGATGGATTAAATCTTACAAATAGAAAGAATAAGAATGGCGGTGGTGTGGCCTTGTTTGTGGATAAAAATTTAAAATACAAGATGGTAGAAAAAATGACGGTGGCGGTAGATAATATATTAGAGTGTGTAACAATAGAAATTAGTATGGGAAAAGAGAAAAATGTCATTGTAAGCTGTATATATAGAACACCAGGTTCTAATATTGAAATTTTTAAGGAGTGGGTAGATAAAACATTCATTAGGACAAATCAAAAAGTCATGTTCATTTGTGGGGATTTTAACATAGATCTACTAAATCCAAACAAGCAGAGAGCGACAGAGGAATTTATTAATACAATGTATAGCTTGGGATTTTTTCCAGTGATCACTAAGCCCAGCAGGATTACAGCACAGTCGGCAACCCTAATAGACAATATATTTACTAATGAAATAGAAAATAGAACCATAAGTGGTCTCCTAATTAATGACATCAGTGATCATCTACCTGTTTTTATAGTGTATAACAGCAATTACAGGAAGGTTAAACAGCAAAACACAATAAAATACAAACGAGTGAGAACAGAAGAGTCAATAAACGCATTCAAAAGTGATTTACTCAAGCAAGAATGGGAGATGCTGTATAAGGAAAAAAATATTGATAAAGCTTATGAGATTTTTATAGGAAAATTTAAACTGTTATATAATAGTCATTGCCCAGTAAAGAAATATAGTAAAAAACAAAAATATGCAGAGTGCCCATGGATTACAAAAGGATTGCAAAATGCATGTAAGAAGAAAAATACCTTATACAGAGAATTTATAATGAACAGAAGCACAGAAGCTGAAAATAAATACAAGAAATATAAAAATAAATTAACGAGTATTTTAAGGTCATGTAAAAAGGAATACTATGAAAAATTACTGATTATGAATAAAAATAATATTAAAGGGATCTGGAAAACATTAAATACCATCATCAAAAAGGGCTCGGGGCAGGCAGACTATCCTTCGTATTTCGCAAATAATGATAGAAATATTACTAATATGAGAGATGTAGTAAATGAGTTCAATAAATTCTTTGTAAGTGTTGGGCCAGACTTGGCTGAAACAATTCCTGATATAACAGATTCTGTAGAGAAAGAAACTAGACTCATTGACCGCAATCCTCATTCAATGTTCTTAACGGTGGTGGAAGAAATGGAAATCATTGATATTGTTGGGAAATCACAAACAAAAAACTCTACAGACTCTGACGACATTGATATGGAAATCGTTAAGAGAGTGATAGAGGGCATTTCCAAACCCTTAACACACATTTGCAATTTGTCCTTACAAACTGGTACATTCCCAAAACAAATGAAAACAGCTAAAGTAACACCACTGTTTAAAAATGGTGACAGACACCAATTCACAAATTATAGGCCTGTCTCTCTACTTTCTCAATTTTCAAAAATACTGGAAAAAGTCTTTAGTAATAGACTTGACAAATTTATAGATAAACACAAAATAATAACAGATAGTCAGTATGGTTTCAGATCAAATGGATCAACATCATTGGCATTAATGGAACTGATCGAAAATATCACCAACAATATAGATAAAAGACAATGTATAGTTATTGACCTAAAAAAAGCTTTTGACACAATTAATCATGACATATTACTTGATAAACTGGAGTACTACGGCATTAGAGGAGTGGTGTTAGAATGGGTAAAGAGTTATTTGAGAGACAGGCAGCAATTTGTGAAAATTGGGGAATATCAATCAGAGTGTATGGACATTGTTTGTGGAGTTCCGCAGGGGTCAGTATTGGGACCAAAGCTGTTTATCCTCTATATCAATGATATATGCAGAACATCAGATATACTACAGTTTATTCTATTTGCAGATGATACAAATATTTTTTGTGCTGGAGAGAACTTACAGCAGCTTTTGGAAATTGTCACACAAGAAATGATTAAACTGAAAACATGGTTTGATAGAAATAAGCTATCATTAAATTTGGAAAAAACTACATTTATGTTATTCGGAAATTGTAAAAAAGATGCAGGAGCAAAATTATTAGTAAACAATGTTGAAATAGAGCAAGTTTCGGATACAAAATTTCTGGGTGTGATAATAGATAACAAAATCTGCTGGAAACCTCACATAAAGCATATACAAGCCAAACTGTCAAGAAGCATCTCCGTACTAAGTAAAGTTAAATATTTTTTGCCTTCCAAATCACTCCGGGTACTTTATTGTTCACTTATATTGCCATATTTGGAATACTGTGTGGAAATTTGGGGAAACACATATAAAACTGCACTTCAACCAATATGTAAAATTAAAAAAAAAAGCAATCAGGATGATTAATAAAGCAGGATTTAGAGACCATACTAACATCAT